CTGCCCAACGACCTCGGCCGGTTCATTGTTGATAAGACCACGGGACCGCGCGTTGCAACACGAAGTGGAACGTTTCGGTCACACCTTTCGCGGCACACGCGTCATCATCTGCGACGACACGTTACAGCGCAAGACGCAAGCATAAATTAACAAGTTAGATTTCAGCGGAAGCTGCATTTGCTTTTCTGTGTGACCAAGGTAGGATATTGTTGAAGAGGAATCAATGAAACCGTGAGGAAGTTGTAGTCACGTGTCAATGAGTCATTGGCAAATATTATCTGTAGTGGAAGCACCGTGATGACGTAACGAGCGATCCAACCTGGGAATAAGACCAGCGCATTAGACGTGACGGCGAAAAGGCGTGGTTAATGTACCGTTGCTATAAAGATCAGTCTTTCGTTTCTTTATGGATCGCGGTGCAGCAGACTTTTTGCTTGCCAACTCGCCAGGAGGAAATTACTACTCCCAGTGAATTATTAATAATTATAATATTAATAATTTTAATTTTTAATCATTAAGAATATTCATAATTCTAGTATTCATAATTTTAATAGTTATAATTAAGGATATTAATAATTTTAATATTAATAATTCAGGATATTAATAATTGTGAATAGAAAAAATTCTAATATTAATAATTATGAATATTAGCCATTCTAATATTAATAATTGTGAATAGTAATAATTCTAATATAAATAATTATGAATATTAGTAATTCTAATATTAATAATTCTAATATTAATAATTGTGAATATTAATCATTCGAATTTTAATAATTATATATATAATATAATTATATATATAATTATAATATTAATCATACGAATATTAATAATAATAAATATTAATCATTCGAATATTAATAATTATGAATATTAGTAATTATAATATTAATAATTTGCGAATATTAATCATTCAAATATTAATAATTATGAATATTTGAATTATTAATATTAAAATTATTAATATTAATCATTCTAATATTAATAATTATGGATATTTATAAATCTAATATGAATAAATATTGATATCAATAATAGTAAAGGAATCACGTGTATTTGCAGTTTCCTTACAAACAATGTGAATCGTATAATTGCGCAAAATTGTTCATCGAATCGATTCAACAATTTCTCAGAATACTTTTTTTACAGTCCCACTTGGAAATCCGTATTTATGCTCGATTTTATTTATGCATCCGTAACTCGCGTGAATCACTGTGAGCATCGAATGAACATTTCCATACATTTTATGCAGTTTCCGAAGGACTATACACGTGACCATAAAACGTTGTACACTCCGTCGACGTCGTGGCCAAAACAAAAAAAAAGAAAGAACGAGAAGCGTTCGTTACAGCGAAAGGAGAACAAATTTATGGAAACAATGATAGACATTAATTGTTGCAACGGTGATAAACTTTTTTTGGAACTTCGTTGTTATTGATCCACGAACCTTCGGAAGCAGCATTAAATTTATCTACACCCTTTTTTTCGATATCTTTTCTAGGTTCGGAGTTACGAGCTCGTTAATCAAAGGGCGGCCCGGATGAAAGGGTTGGCTGGCTGGGCACGTTAAGGCAGCGTTTCCAATCAAACGCTGAAAAATTGTCCGCACGATTAATGAGGTTAATAATGGAAGCATGCAACGCTTTTCATTGTAATAAAAATATGGATGCACTTTTTTGAAATAATTATAAATATTGCAGATATTTATTCAGAAAATTATTTAAATTGTTTATATTGTTACCAATTACTTCGTTAAATCCTACGTTTAACAGATTAATAATAATAATTATTATAAAAAGGCAAAAATATATCGCATGAATTGGCTGTTTAATAAATAAATGATGATGATTTTATTTCTTAAATAATATTTCACTAGAAATTATTGTTGACTTTCCAAATTAATCCATTCTCGCTGAAAGCTTTTAAAAAATTCTTTCGAAATGTGTTTATTTTGTTCAATTCTTAAAAAAATACTGGTATATTATCTTTTTCAATTCTTAAGAAATATTGATAGATTATCTTTTTCAATTCTTAAGAAATATTGATAGATTATCTTTTTCAATTCTTAAGAAATATTGATAGATTATTTTTTTCAATTCTTAAAAGAAATATTGATAGATTATCTTTTGCAATTCTTAAGAAATATTAATAGATTATCTTTTTCAATTCTTAAGAAATATTGATAGATTATCTTTCCCAATTCTTAAGAAATTGTTAACGCATTATTCCTTTCAATTACCATAAAATATGATAATATTTCTTTCAATTCCAATGCTCTATTGACGATGATTGTTTCATATATTAAAAATAAAAAATCGACTGGCTAAACAAAATAAAAGATGACAATGTGGACAATAATTTTTCAAATACAATATAACAATTGAATTCGACCGAGCAATTACACTAATTAGCAGATATCATTGCGAACGATCAGCCGGAAAGTTCACCGCAGGCGGCGCGGGGGTAGAGGGGGAAATACAGTGTCAGAAGCAGCGCGGAATATTGAATTTCGTAACTTTGCCGCGCCGAGAATCGGCGTGGTGCGGATTAAAGGAGAGCCGAACAATCGAGTAAATTAATATCCGGGGAATGTTATCTAAATGCGCGTGTCGCCGGCTTTCGACTTCATTTAGGCGAACAACTTTCGTCGCGAAATTCGGCGAATTGAAATTACAAAATGCGACCAAATGCATGTACGCCCGTGAATTTGGCGGGCATCCGAAGTATTTTACAGCGAGACCGATTAATCGAATTTATTCGTCGACGGAGCGTTTTGCATCCGTACGGAGGACGAGATCGCATAATAAATGTCGTTCGCGCGAACCTACCGGCACTCGTCTAATTTACATAGTTCTCCTGTAATCGACGGTACAAGCTCAAGGCTCAAGCACGAAAAATTTCAAATTAATACTACCTTTTTTTTCCTCTCGTGGCACCGATGGAAATTGCTTCCGCAAGTTGCGCGATCGTTGGATCCTCTCTGGAACATTCTTATGCATCGTTGCATAATTAATTCGTGTAATTAATTTGTGCTTGTTTACAGGAATTTGTGTTTATTTATGATTATTCTTGATTATAAGGTATTTATCGTAATGATGTATTATCGAAATTATATGCAATAATTATATTAAATTTTATATTATTGATATTGTATATTATAATATATATCGTATTATAAAATGATATTAAAATTATATGCTATAATATATCGTATTATACAACAATATTAAAATTATATACTCTAATATATCATATTATACGATAATATTAATATTATATACTCTAATATATCATATTATACAATAATATTAATATTATATA